GCCGCAAATAGAACACTTGTAAGTTTTGTTATACATGTGTGCATAGTGAATAGGTTTCTTAGAAATATTTTTGTGGAACTTTGCACACACGTCCATAAGCTTTTCATTGTTGGCAATGCATGTATTTAATGTTGAATCTAAGGATGAAATGTGTTTCTTTATTTTATTCAACTCATCATTTGAAATATGTGCATTGTCACAAGAAGTAGAGCAAGCAAGATTATCTAATTTATTTTTATTAGCTTCTACTTCTAACATGTCATTATTCTTATCATGAGTCAAACTTGTAATATCCAATCTTAATTTTTCATTGCATTCTTTAAGATTAATATTTTCATTTGTAATGAAATCATTTGCAATGAAATCAAACTTAGATACAAGGGACTCATGATTGGATTTTAATTGAACATGCTTGCTTTTTAGATCTTTAATATTATGTTTCAATTTATTATGGTTATGCAATAATTTTTCATATTCATGTGCGAGTTTATCAAATGTAAAATCATCATTGTTATCGGACTCGCATACCTCACTAGGGCTATCGCCTAGTGGTCGTGTACATGAAGATGATGCTTCTTTTGAACTTGAAGACGAATCCTCCAAATATTGTCGGATTGCCTCCAAGTCCCCTTGATGTGCTTCTATTAATTTCTATAACGTATAAGCACTATTAAAAGAATCAAGTTTGTTAGCAAAAGATAAGCCAAAGGCATCAATTAGAAATCTTAACAAGGACTTGTTCATAGCAAACAATCTATTATCATTACTACCCCGCTTGGATTTCTCCGTAGTGGGTACAATATAAGCGCATTCAATAATTTCCCATATATCGATATTAGTAGATCTAGCAAAAAGGTTAAATCTAGCACACCATTATTCATAGGGAAAATTACTGATTCTAGGAGCAATGTTAATAACATAACCAATATTAGGTGCACCGTGCATGTTCATGATATGTGCAAGCAAGAAACAAATAATATCAAAATAAGATTAGCAACAACAATAAGAACAAGGGATCTTTAACTCAAGACGGTTAGACCTCAAATCAAAGAGCACCAAGCTCTGATACCAATTGAAAGTACCCTAGAAGGGGGGGGGTGAATAGGGTTATTGCTAATCTTATTAGATATTAATGCCAATTAAAACTTATTTGATTAATTAATTCTTGCAAAGAATATATGAGAGAATTATGAGCAAGAATATAAATTACAAGCATACAATAAATGTACACAAAGCAAACTCATACACAAGATATGTTCACGGAGTTCGGTGCCCACGACCTATGTCTTCACTCCTCACCTCGAGGAGATCTCCACTATCTCGACACACCCGGTTTGGAAGCCGTAACTTCTCTACACACTCGGTTTTCTAGCTTACCGAATACTCTACATTCTCATACTCTTGTAATCACACTTTACACCCTCTAAGTGTTGGTCTCTAGCCCGTGACTCCCTCAAGTGTTAGGAATTACAACCTACCTCTAGGCATTACCACCTACCCTACTCCTTTTGGGACGATCTCGTCTCTCACCACACACTTCTCTCGGTGTACAAGTGTATTACAAAGTGTATCTCACAATTAGGCTCAAATACAATGTTTGTTCTCTAATACAAGATGAGAACTAAGTGTAAGCTCACTCTCAATGTTACACTCGCCACAACCCAAAATATACAATATGTGAAAATAGTTAAGCTCAATGGTTGTGTGTGTAAACAATGAGAAAATCAAATGTAAACACAATTAAATCTAGCAAATATAAATATAACAATTAAAGCATAAACAAGCTAGAGATATGAGTTTAGAAACACTTCTCTAATCACAAGAGAGCGGGATAGGAAGATTGAAAGCCCAAACTGAAATTGATCTCCTCTTCTTGTAAAACAATCTTCACAAAACTAATTTTGTAAACAAACACTTAAAGCAAACTAAAATTCTTTTTAAACTTGTTTTATAACTTTTCTTCTTAGTTCAGAAGTGAAATAGTATAGGGTATATATAGGATGAAGAAACAAAGCTCAAAACCCAAGTAAAATCCAGCAAAATGACAAAAAACAAAAACTAAAAATATAGTCGTTATAGGCCATCAGTCGACTGACGGGTTTCATCAGTCGACTGATGAGCTGACCGTTGTAGGTATTTTTTAGCTAATCAGTCGACTGACGATCTTATCAGTCGACCAAAACATAACAGAGAGCAAAATAACAATTACAGGCATATTCATTAGTCGACTGATTGGTCGACTGATGAATTTTATCAGTCGACTGATCGGTCGACTAATGAATTTCATCAGTCGACTGACCAGTCGACTGATAATAAGTATACAGCTTGTTTAGAGCAGAAACCTGATTTTTTAACTGCTTTTAAAAAAGCAAACAAATTCAGAAAAATGTAAAACTTTGGGAAATAATTATAGACATGATAATACACATGCTACAAAAATTGGTTTTCAAAACTCACCTCCCAAATGAGAAATCTCATCATTTTGCAAAATCACATAAGTATGAACATGTTAAAAACTTGATTTTGCCAAAATAACTTAAACAAAACTTTAAAACACTTTAGGATGGATTTAGAGACTTATACAAGATATGCAAATAGTATAAATAAATCTTCAATCCATTAACATAATGTAGCTATTTGTTTGCAAATTCAATAGAATATGAAACACATAAATGTGAAAATGAAGATGTACATTGTTTCATATCAATATAGCTAAACCAAAACAACTTATCCACATAGAAAACAAACAAGTATTATATATCTATTTGTTTGCAAAAACTTTTGTGGATAAAACACATAAACCATTAAATTGTGTGTGTATAATATTGAGCTTAAGATATTAACACACAAAGTATAAATCCTAAACTAATTTACCCAAGCTATGAGATCTTCAATATGCTTGACTTGGTTACGGATGAAGCTTGATCTTGAATATGACTTGACATGCAATGGTTTCATACCGATATTCCGCCAACCTCCATTTGATGTGATCGTGAAGGCTCAATCCATCCAACCTCCAACATATTGTTTGTCTAGAATACCTAATAAGAAAACATAAACACTAGAGAAATAATATTAGAAATTGTTTGTAATCATCAAAACAAGATTAGAAGATGTATGCTCATAACATGAGACCTAACATTTATAAGTTTGAGATTTTGTACTATTTGTTGGTTTTGATATTTCTTATGTGTGATATCAAAAAATTGACTTTTAGAGGGTGTATTTTGTAATTTTTAAAACTTTTAGGGTATTTTTTTGTAAATTTTTAAATGTTCATGGTGTTGTTTATAATTTATAGATTTTTGTACTGTTTTGTAAGTTTTTATATTTTCATGGTATTTGGTAATTTTGGAACTTTTGATGATGTTTTTTTAATTTTGGAACTCTAAGGGTGTTTTTTACCAATTATAAATTTTTCATAGCGTTGTATGTAATTTACGGATTTTGTAATGTTTATTGATGTCTTATGAGTGTGTTTTTAAAATTTTTTGAATGTTAAAGAGTGAATTGGTTAATTGCGTAGGCAAGTTGACCTATTGATAACCCAACTAATAAATGAGTTCTTTGGATCAACCCGTTTATGATCCGATCCATACAAAATGACCCATACCCACTTATAACAGGTTGGATCGGGTCGGGTCAGCGGGTCAGATTATAAATTGCTACTCCTATTTTTTTGTCAATATACCCCTTACATCTATCTTATTTGCAGATTTTCCCTCAAAACTGAATATTTGCTAATTTCTATGTACATTCTTTGATATTGAGTTAAAATAGATCTCACTTGTTTTAGCATCTTTTAAATTTCAAACTGAGAAGAGATAAAATGCAATAATATTCTCTCTCTTTTTCACATATTTATCCCCCAGATCTCTATTCTATTTGTAGATTTGTTTCTGAAATCTGCATATTAGATATCAGTATGAATTTTGACAGTTTTAAGCGATAGGGGTACACAAATCTAATGTGAAGAATATTGTAGGGATAATTAACAAATAGGATATATTGGGAGGCATATAAGCAAAAAAGCCTTAAACATAAATGAATGAGAGAGAGAGAGAGAGAGTCCCTACAATTTTTTTTTTTGAACTGAAAAAACAGGAAGAGGATTTTTTTTCATGTATATATATATATATATATATATATATATATATATATATATATATATATATATATATATATATATATATAATATATAGAGAGAGAGAGAGAGAGAGAGAGAGAACTTTTCCAATGCGAAAACCTTTCGCACAGTATACTGTGCGAAATCAACGTGGTCCGTCGGATTTTACTGTGCGGCTGAAAATCGCTTCTCATTAATACCAAGAAGAAACCCTCAACTGACATCTCGTGATCACGTTTCAGCTTCCCAGACTCTCCTCCCTCTCTCTCCCCAAACTCCCCTCCGACCTCAGAGCCCTCTCCTCCGACCGCAGCGCCGACCCCAAACCCTCTCCTCCGACCGCGTGTGGAATCGACGTGGTCCGTCAGATTGGAAACCCAAACTCTGCTCGACGCTTGAATCAGGTGCGAAATTTATATACTTGCTTGATTTAGGGCTTTTTGATGTGGGTTGTTGATGTTTTAAACGATTACTTTCGAGGTTGTTGTTATTCTTGTTATTTTTTAAGCGATTACTTGCTTGATTCTTGCTATTCTTATTATTTTTTCGAAAAAAACATATATCAAGGAAATTAATTAAGCTCTTAATTGTTTCGTGTTCAGTTACATTTTTGCTAGCTGAGAAGCATAATATATAATATCTAAAATAGTTGGCTATTGAAATCAGATGGTGAGGTCTGGACTGAATTTTTGCCCCATTTCTTTTAAAACCGTTGTTAGGTAAAGTCTAGTTTATAGTTAAAAAAGATTAAGTTGCTCATTATCTGTTTGTGCACATGAAAGATATTTGTTTATGTTTGTGCACAGTAGTCTTTGATGGTTTATTCTTGATGTTTGTTGTTGATGTTAATTTTTGTAGGTAAAAATTGTTCTTGATGTCTGATCCAATAGAAACTGAAGATGGTTGCTCCCATGTTGTTGATGAACAAATATCCCAGTTAGATAACTTAGTTGTGCCAATTGTTGATGAGCACTTAAAACCAAAAATAGGAATGACTTTCGACAGTTTAGAAGATGCTGAAAAATTCTACAGAAATTACGGAAAGGTCGGAGGTTTTGATATCCGTAATAGCACAACAAATTATGGGAAGGATAGAGAGTTAATTTGCAAAAGTTATGTTTGTTCGAAAGAAGGAGTGTTAAAGAGCAAATCGTTGGAAATCCGACGATGTGGTACAATTAGAACAAATTGTAAGGCCTTGATTCGCTTCAAATTAGACAAAAACATTGGCATATGGAGTGTCTACAAGTTCGTGGAAGAACATAATCATACAATTACTTCACCGAGTAGAACACATTTTCTAAGGGGAAACCGTGAGGTCACAAGTGCGAAGAAGACATTAATAAAGCAGTTTGGAGAGGTGAACATTCCAACAAACAAGCAAATGGCCTTCTTTGAAAACTCTAGCGGAGGTTTTCATAGAATTGGATGCATTGAGACCGATGTGAGAAATTATGAAAGAGATTTGAGAGAGGAGAGGCGTGGTCATGATGCACAAATGATGTTGGATCATTTCAAGTCGGAACAAGAGAAGAATCCTTCATTTTATTATGTTTATGAAGTTGATGCAGAGAAGCGCTTAACTCATTGTTTTTGGGTGGATGGCATTGCTCGAATGAATTATCAACACTTTGGCGATGTTGTCTCCTTCGATGCCACGCATAACACAAATCAATATGGCTTGGTATTTGTGCCGTTTGTAGGAGTAAATCACCATTGCCAAAGTGTTTTTTTAGGATGTGGCTTTATTCCAAACGAAGAGGCAAAGTCTTTTGTATGGTTGTTTAACAAATGGATTGAAGCAATGGGTCATCCTCCTTCAGGCATGATTACAGATCAATGTCTTGGCATATGCAAGGCAATTGAAACAGTTTTTCCAGAAATTCGGCATAGGTTTTGCATTTGGCATATCTTGGACAAAGTCCCGGAGAAGTTGGGTAAATGGGCTTATAGTACAGAATTTATGAAATCTTTCAAAGAAATTATTTGGGACTCCGAGACTGCTAGCTCTTTTGAAGAGAATTGGGTTTCAATTCTTAAGAAAAATGGATTGGAAACGCATGATTGGCTAAAGGATATTTATGCAATTCGTGAAAAATGGGCTCCGGTTTATCATAAACAACACTTTTGGGCTCCGGAATGTCTAGCAGTCAAGAGAAGTGAAAGGAATGAATGCATTG